TTTCTCATCATGTCTTCACCTCAGCCTTGTCTTAGTCTCAAGATGCAGGGACTCTGGTGAACCAGATGCTCTCAATAGGTGTCTTCTCTATATCCCTCCAACAGGAAAAGATGTGAAAACACCTTCTCCACAGCCTTCCCTCTGCTACAGAGGTGGAGGGTCCTGAAGCTTGAACTAAGGACAAGGAAAGGGAGGCTTTACCTCTTTACCTAAGGTTTTTTTCTGACTTATCAGTTACAGAAGACACTTCATTGTACTGGGCAGAAGGAGACTTCTAGCACACTTTTGACCACCTTATATTTACATTTTCTTCCTTACCTTTCCAAGACAGTAAAAAGAAATTTAAAAAGAAATTAGTCTCCTATTTACGTTCATGTTACTTTATACCAAACTCACTGTTCTTAAAATGAATGAACTATAGCAGCCTGAAAGCAGTTCAAAATCACCTCTTAAAGATAATACATACATTTATTGTGAGCCAGGAAGTATCCATCAATCACTCATTTACATCACACCCTGTACCTCTAGAGCATTCAGGCAGGCAGCCTGGAAAATGCCATTATTTAAATGTAAAGCAAAATGAGGTTTGCCTAATCAACCACCATGCAATCGCATCTTGTAAGGGGATCCACGTTTGCAAAACAGAGTCCGAGATCGTTTTGTCTTCTTTATTCTTGAAAGGAAACCTACTACAGCCTGACAGTTCTAACAGTAAATGACATGTACAGAAAGCACTTCCACAGCCTGCTGCCAGCAGCTGAGCCTGCCTTGCAACAACAGTGTTGAGCACTACAGCAAACAAGTCACGACATGATCAGAGCGCCAGCTGGAACAGCTCTGCCTGGTGTTTCAACAGCTGTTGAAAAAAGCTGGGTTCGCATGCTACGGGCTGTACTACCACAGGAGCTTCGGTTGGGATAGAAGGCAAGATAAAAAGCAAGAGTACATATGCTCCGACAGTAGAGTCTTTGTAGAGTGAAAAGAAATGGTCAACAGCAAGCCGAGAAAGGAATAACTAGAGCAATATCTAGGGCAGGAGGGAAGAAGTCAGGGTTCCTCAGGTCAGATCTCTCCTCCATATCTAAAGAAAGTTAAAAAAACACAAGGCTGTAAAAGAAATTATGAAAGTCTATTAGCATGCCAAGGAAAACAACATGTCTAAGTCTGCATAACAAGCCATTGAGGAAAAACAACATCAGTAACAGGCTTCCCAGACTAAGGAGATTCTATGTGCTGAAACTCCTTTCTGTGCTGTTCGTGTTTCAATGGCTTCTCTACAGAAAATGCATTGCAAAAACCATTTACCAAAGTGCCAGAAATTACAGACACAACTCTCTCTTATACAAAATCCCAGCATATGTTTTTAGCTTGATGTAGCAAATGGTGGTCCCAAACATATTAAAGATCTGATGTTCTCAGGATCACAGTTAAGCACACCAAAAATGTGTTCCTAGGACTGGGACTCACTAAACAACTGGGACAAGAATTTTCTAAATGACAAGAGATTGTGGGGCAATGGATGGGAGCAGCCAAGTACTGCAAAATCAGAGTGATAAACAATGATTGTTCTGATCAATTTCTCTTATGAGTTCATACTCACCCGTACAACTACCACTTGTACAGACACATGTTCAGGCAGTCGAATGGGAGCCCGGAAATGCATTGCCAAAGCTACCAGAAGGTGAAGAATGGAAATCAGATTCTTGCCATGGATTGCTGCAGGGAACAAGGAAAATAAAGCAAATAAAAGAATACTGAGGCCTTATTTTAAACAAACAGCTCTGGGAAAAAGGCGGGAAAAAGGCAGGAAAAAGGCAGTGAAAAATGCCTTTGGTGAACACAGTCTTTTTTCTTTTTATCCTTCTTCCTCTTTTTCCTAAATTAACAAGGCCTACAATATAATTTTACAGGTAGCAAAGCCTGGATTCAACCCTCCCTTTAAGTTACATGCTTAACTTAGGAGTCCAAACACTTCACCTCCCTCTCTAGTCAATGAAGACAGGCAGATTCAATCACTTGCCTTCCACTGTACTGGAGAATACTGGAGAAATCTGCTTTTAGCAGACTTCCAAAGTGTTAACGTAAGCTTTCCTGGCTGTAAGAGATGAACCCCACTCACTACCTAGGTGAAGGGACTTCTCAAATTCCATTCTAACTTTTGGATTGTAACAGGCCATGCTTGAACAGAGAGCACTTTCTGCTTAGCCCGTCAGAAGCTGCACCCTCCAGCAGGATGCAGGATCCTTTTACTCTCACTGTGGTGGCCTGAAGGATTAGACCACCCTCTAGTACTTGAATGACTAACACATTTCTCCTATCTGTAGGGATTCAAATTCAGGAAGCAAACAAAAAACTTTCTAGTGAAAGCATATCCTTAAAGGAACAAATTACTTCAATTATCCCACAGCCACGTACATCTGTCCTTAAACAAAGACCATGGAAGAAGGTACCAGTTACAATCCATACATGGATGTGGTAACAGCCTCTGCGCAAATAAATAAATAATTTAAAAAAACACACTGCATCACAGAGAATATGATCAACCCATTGATTATCATACCCCCCTTGCCTGCGAAGCTGAGACAGAAAGCCTAACAGAGTCCTTACAGTCAATGTTCCACTTGATTGTCCAGCCATGGGGTCGGAGTAAATCATGGACAGCTTCCAGGACCGTTTGCAACTTTTGTTTCTGACCAATTTCAGATTGCGTCACTTCTGCCACATTCAGTTTACGGTCAGCCAATTTTTCTGTATTTGAAAAAAAAAACCAACAAAAAGAACAGGCAAAATCAGATTAAACAAGGGCCTGAGTGGGAATAACGAGCACAGAGCACTGGGCAGAGCTGGACTCTGCTAGAAATTTTCCAAGAGAATGATTTTTCCTCAGAAAGCAAAATACCTGAAAGCAAACCTTTCATCAAAGTGTGTCAATTCCAATAAAACCTGTGATAGGAAACTGGTAAGGTCTGGCAGAACATGCTCATCAATCAGGTGTCAAAATATATTACAACTTTCAGATGGGCACCAAGTTAGTAATAATATTTATTGTACCTCCCATCTTCTTTCACTGCTGAAAAGCATTTGGCACAACACAGCCTTCACGACACAAGGAATCTGCATGGGTTTAATGGACTTTTTGAATAACAAGTTAATTTATGACAAAAAAGGGGAAATATTGTGTGAACATTTACTTCAGCTTGATAAGCTTTATTTCAGGTTAGCTGAAGGTATGAATTTAAGCTAAAGCAAACTTTGTCTCCTCAAACCATCAAAAGTCATAGACTCGTATGACCCACAGATTTGTACCGGCTTAGTGGAACTAATTTAAAGAAGTAAGTTGGTACAATCTTGTCATGTTGTTATGACATTGTCACATCATGGTTGATTACTTCCAAAAATGAACTAATGTAGGAAATTTTGTAAAATGCCATTACTAAACTTTAGTTCTCTTTCTGTAATATAATTATTTGTTGCCAAAGTCTTAGACAAGTCACTCTTCTCTTCCACTGCATTGTGGCCCTTGCCAAAGACACAAGAGCTGAATTTCTCTAAAAAAGAAGAAGGAGAGCTGAGGAAGGTGGGGTAGAGTCCTCCAGCCACCAGAGCAATGAGAGCAGCTGATCTCTTTTATCCCTCCACCCTGGGGAAAACAATGGTCAAACTCACTGTACTGCTGGGACTAGGAGGTCAGGACTGGTTGAATATATTCCAATTATATATTATTATTCCAGTCTTTAAAACAAAAAAACATACTTCACCAAAACTGTTTTCACAAAGTGGGACGGGCTTCAACTCTAAACATTCTTTCAGAAACATTTCAGAGTTGTCAAAAGCTATTATTCCAATAATGGAAATATTTCTGCTCTCAAGTTCAAGAGTATGTTTCTTCTGGACATTTCACCTAGCTGAAGATATACTTATCTATTTTTTAAAAAGTGACAGAAATACAAAAGTACTTTAATAACCCAAACAGAATAGACTTGCAGGTTATCAACTTACAAATACTTTGAACATTTTGACTGTTTCTGTCAATCTACAGTAGGAAATTTTTATCAATATCTGAATAATATTAATGGGAAAAATGTTCTTTAGCCAAGATGTCTCTGAATCTTTTTTAAACTGACTACCAAAACATGTAAATATTATTTTAAATTATTTTAGATGTTTTTTAAAAAAATTATACTACAAGACTCATTTTTTTGGTCACGTGTTATGGCTCCTATCTATTCTCAGCCCAGTTTAGCCGCCAGTCAGCAAGCAGAAATTTATCTCCTTTCACCCTGACGCCTTGTGTACAAGCCACTCCAGCCTCTCTGAGTGGCACTACTTGTACCTTGATAAAATCAACTAAACAAGGAGCTCCACCTCAATCAGTCAGACAGCCATTTACTAATCTCTTACTCCAAACTGCTTCAAAATAAGCCCACTGACAAGCTGTTGTCTTTCATCTTTTTTTTGTGTCTGCCTATCAAGACAGATGTTCTTGAAACATCTCTAACACACATAAGGAATGATAACTACTGCTTGAAGTTTAATGACCCTACTTTGTTAGCCTTTCCTGCAGGCACCAGAAAAGAAGACTTGCACAACAGAGGGCTGACTTAATTCTGAGGCCTTGAGCATCAGGAGCACCACCACAAGCATGACATGCTTTGCCTCTTGCATCAATGAAACAGCACGAAGATGGATAGATTCAGTAATATAAGTCTTGCTGAAGAAACCAAGACACCACTGAAGAACAACACAAGATTGGGGCTGAGTTGTGATAGCTTCAGATCAGGGGAGAGGCATTTGCTCTCCAGTCAGAGGCTCAACAGGAAGAAAACAAGGAAAAACCAGTCCAGTTAAAGTCTCAGGCTGCAAAATGTACATGCCCACCTTTCCTGCTGTAAGATATGCTAAGTCCAACTGAGCTACAGATGTATGTATGTATGTACAACTAAGCACTTCCTAAATGTCTGCAGGCCTGAGGGTGGAACCATGGCCTCCACAGGGAGCGTAAGAAAGCAGTGATACCTGTGACAGATGGCTACAATGAAATGCACTACCACCTGCTGAAACAGCAGTGTCTATATGTTAAGAAGTACAACTGTATTCACACAAATACTCCCCAGCTAAAATTAACTCTACACCCCTGCTCCCCACTATGTCTGGAGGGTCCCAGCTGCAGTCTAACCAAGCAGTGTTAAAAGTATTCTTGTTTTATTCCTCAAGTTATTTTTGAAGAGTTTTAATTGCACACCAAGTTAATTGTTGTTAACCAATTTTAAAAGCTTGTGAATGTTCACCAAAATGCTGCAGACCTGTTATTTAAGGGGCATATGCAGAAAATTCAGTAAGCAGCATCCATTAGCACCACTAGGTCCTCTTGCCCCACTCTGACACATACATCCCACATCCCAGCCCACTCTTGAAAACATGTCATAAGTAAACTGAGAGCAGTCTGACTATCTGTCTCCAAGAAATAGCGTGGATTTGCAATGGCACTTGAAGCTTCAAGTCGCTTTGTTTGCTAAAAGCATCCCCATAAATCACTGCATCATCATAAGGTTTTCTCCATTGTGTTTCTTGCGTGAACACACACATTGCAAAGATGTAAGGGTGTTGCAAAATCACAATTGCTTAACTGACTATATCCTTTCAGGAATCATTTGCACATAAGTGCACGGCATGAGTATGTGCCTGTGGCCACACATTCTCTTTTTCTCATTTTTATCCCTAGAAGTAATTCTATCGGGACCTCAAAAAAGCTCTCAGCCCAAAAGCTTTCAGAAGCAAAGTATAGAGAAAAGTTTGGATCACATGGCTTCTGCTTGGTCCCCCAGTGTAAACATGAATCTCTTCACCTTTTTTCTGCCACATATTTCAGCTGTCTGGACTATACTTAGTCCATGAAACAGATACCTAGGAATCATCTGGATTTTCTGCCCTTTCAGCAGACAGCCTGAGAAGAACAGATGGAGAAGCTGACACTGTAGCTTTCAGTGAAACAAACTGTATCCCTGGTGAGATGGTGAGTTACTGTACAGAGCTGCTGCTGTCTGCAGCTTTCGAAGAGATTAACTTGGGCCCCTTCCAGTCTTTGGGGCCGCCTTCTCTTGTGTAAACTCACCTAGCAGCTTTTGCAGCACCTGCCCATCATAAAGGTCCTCTTCAAGCTGTTTGACAATGATTCTCTCCTCCACCAGCACATCATTAATCCAGTCAATTAGAACCTGAAAGTACAGAAAAAAGAGGCAAATGTCAAAAAACCGCTGAAATATGTTCCTTCCATTCAAGGCAGTAATCAGGAATATAAAACAGAGCAAGAGTATTTATGTATTTCCAAGTTACAGAGAAATAACAAAGAGATGCATCATTGCTTTTAATTCAGGTCTTGCAGCATGGTAATTTTAGTGCCCTCTACTTTTCCTCATTAAAATGTCTCCTCATTGCACCAATTCTAAAGCAAGTAGCAACTAGTAGCTCTGCAACAATAACCTTTGCTAGTATCTATGTTCTCCAGGTCCCAAAACTCATGTCTTACCTGTTTTATGTGAACAGCAGACCTGCCAATAGATGACAATAGTCCCACACTCCCACCAGGATCTCTACCCTGAATAGATGTGAGTGGTGTACCAGAAAGAAGACCTTCAGAGGGGAACGAGTGAACGCTCATGAACAGGAGCTAAACAGACCCACCAGCTAGATCCCCACCATTAGCAACAGGATAAGGCATTTTATCTTAAGCTATTGCAGAATACAGAAGTCTGGAATTAAAATTTTGGTCAAATGGGCCTGATAACCATTCTACAACATATATAATAGTCCCCATACGCTGACTACCATAACTATAAAAATCATTCAGTCACCTGCAAAACAGCAATGAACATAAAGAACCTTTAAAAAGAAAAGGAACAGAGTTAAGTTTTCCAGGTGCCAAAGATAATAATTTCCAAACAGTTACAGGAAAAACAGCCTTGACTGTTTGAAGTTGGCAGTAGTGCTTTCCTCTAGTTTATTATTTGGAAAATTAAATTACTTTCACAAAAACAATATAGTTCTGTAGGAAGAGATGCAATGTTAAATCCTGTTAAATCCTTGATTCTATAAGAGGAGAAGAGTATTGCCAATCACAGACATGCAAAATCCATTAACTAGAGCCACCTAAAGCAATAAGCCTCATTTAAAAATTCTGGAGTTTTTAATTTGCTTCATATAAAGTTGTGGATTCTTTAAATTCACTTTCTGATTAGATCCCATACTTCTGCCTCTTCTCGGCAGTCATGATGGCTAAGAAAGTTTCAGGGTTTTAATATACAAGAAATTGTGAAACAAAAGCAAATAAACAAAATACAGACAGGCTTGCACTGGAAAACACCCACCTTGGCAATCCTAGGAAACATGAGCATTTGAATATGTTGGTCACAAGGACATTTAAGTACTTCAGCCTGGCTACTGAGGTTCATTGGATCTACCAACCTCAGGTAAGTTTTGCTAGGCTTAGTGTCCACAAAGAAGTTTACAATCCAAATGTGAAATACTAATGCTTCATGTACCTCTAATCTTTATCTTTAGTACTTCCAAAGCATGCTGAACATGTGCAGGGCTGAAACTCAGCTCTAAAAATAGTGTAAGTGGCAAATTTTAGCCGGGTGATATGTCAACCAGCCAATTCATGGAAAGCAAGGATCAGCATCAGTACTCATGTACGTAAATCACTTTTGCCCTCTAAGCTGCCCAGAGGGATGAAAAATCTCAATAATCAAAATGACTCCTCTAAAGAGCTTTCTTTCAAAATAAAGCTTTTCTGATAAGTTATTCACTAGTCAATATGAGCAATTTGTATCAAAAATGGTCTTCTCTAGAGCAGGTAAAGGAAAAGTGGAGGTGACATTTGAAGACAGATGTGGATATACAAAGATGTGCTCTGCACCAGTATTATTGCCCCACTGCTCCCCTGTGACCTTGCAGGAACCTCATCTATCACTTGGGCCATTCCCTCTATCAGATGGCCTCCGCTGTGCGGTTACAGCTACCACCACTGTTCCAACACATGCCGCCAAGTTGTTCCACACTCCCGCATCCACCTAATGCCATTTGTTGGGCAGGAGGATCATACAGTTTCTCCCTCTCCTTCCTCTGCCTCATGCTCCCCTCCTGCAACACCTTCATGGCTTGCACTGCCAATGAACTGACAACCGCACTTCTGCTTGAGCAGCCCAGCCTGCTGGCACACCGGCTACCCCTGGCACCCAGGGTCCTGCATTGAAAGGGGTATTGCAGCACTGTGCCCTGGCAGGTACAGTCATCCTCTCACTTTGGTCATGGTCACAAGGAGCAATGCTGGGAAATCTGTCTCCTGACACATGCTCCAACATGCTCTGGAAACCATCTTGCTTCTGTGTCACACAGCCTGACATATATACCACATATAGGCAGAGAAAAATGTCAAGACAATTGCTCTTCCTGCGTTTCACCCTCTAGCAGTTCTCAGGATGCCTCTTCAGCAGCCTCTGGATAAGGTAAACTCTCCCTGCCCAGTCCTTCTCCTCTAGATTTAAAGCTAGGGTTTTCAAAAAATCATAACATGTCAGCTACCATCCAGCACAGGGCATCAAGCCTTTAGATTTCCTTTGAAAACCCCAACCAAAATTAGCTCATCAGAGATTATAGCCAGCAAAAGTTAAATGCAAGAAGATGCAGCCTAAATAAAAGTTAGCAGAGCTCTGCTCCGCAGGTGGGGAACCATGACCACATTTGCAGAGAAAACTCCAATCAGCTATTCTTGTCTCTTTCAACCTTTTTCAGGGGATAGAAGGACATTTATGGTAGAGAGCTGGAGAGAAACATTAGACAAGTTAGCAAAGGATTATCACAGCTGGAAGACAATGAGAAGAGGAATACCATCTTTCACGTCGAAAACCATTCACCGGTGATACAGAAAAGCGAGTCCTAAATAACAAGATACTTTCTTGTCCCAGATCATCCAGAAAGAGATTTTTGAAGCCTGTCAGTAAGGTGACTGCCCAGTTCCAAAATGATACAAGTTTGACACACATAGACATCAATAGAAAAACAACTGAAGAAATCAAAGTCATAGAAGATTTAGGTCTTCCATGAGATTTAGAGAGCAGACTTTCAAAAATTATCTGAAGTTCAGCTGAAATTATCATTTGATAATCAGATCCCATTACAGTCCCTATAGGAAGAGGCCAGATTTCCAAAAGTCCTCAGAAGCTTTGTTAAAGGAAGACTCGGGATGCTAAACTATTTGAAACCATTAATAAACATTTTATTTTGTCTGTCCTGTGCTGAATGGTATTGAAGTCAGAATCTAGAAAATGCCAAGGAATTAAAAGTAAAAGTCTGGAAGTACCTTCTAACGTAGGAGCCAACATCCCATTACCAAGAGTGTAGGTACACAGGAATCACAAAGTGGCTTTGGGTACAGGGTGTTAAAAAAGGGAAATACTTACACTGTGTGCTACTTAAATGTTTCAGAGAAATTTAGCACTGAAAAACTTTTGGCAAAAAAGTACATAAGAGAGATACAAATTAAACAAGGTCTAGCCATAGTTATTTTGTTATTGTAATAGTTCAGCACCTGAATGAAAGAAAAATATCCCAAAGAATATTCTAACTTCTTTAGTATTCAGACTACAACTCCAGCTCTGCTAGAAAAAATGAATTTGCAATTTATATTTAAGAAAAAAAAAAACCAAGTGGGTTTTTTTTAACAGCCCTTGAAGACTGGCAATGGGATGTGATTAAAAAACAAACCAACCAACCCCAAAAATCTGCTGTCCCACCTCTTGATTTCCTGATGGTGTCTTAATTAGGAACCTGGAACAATCTTTCTGCACAGAATTTTATTTTAGCTTTTACAAGGGAAATAAAGCACCGTATTGCTTATTGAAATGACGAACATGCAGAAATACTTTGTGTCTCTCTGCTCACAGAAAGTCAGCTCTCCAGTTCTTTGCTCCAAGCAATAGAGCAAAAAGTTCTTTGCTCTTTGCAAAGACAGAAGCAGAAAATATTCAATAACCTGAATGTCTAAAAATGTCAACAGCTTGATACAGGCAGAGAGTACTTGATGGGAAGCAGACAGAAGGTGCAGAGAGCTTTTCCTGTGCATGAAAATATGCTTAACTTTGATCTGTCTGGTCTCACACTCTACCCATTCCTTCATTTCTGTACCTGCACTTCATACATCTGCAGTTCAATATTGCCTTTTAAGCTCAGGCTACATATGCTGCATTAAATAACAGGCATAAGGGAAACACTGCAGGACTGAGGAAGTGCTTTATTGCAAAGCCTGTTCTCCCAGTATCAGCCCTAACACCATGCCTCTCCTTACATGCAACGGCTGGTGAAGCCACCACAAGATCCCACATGTAGCTAATGATCTTCAATGCACCTGAGACTCATCTTCTTGTGCAGCACTTGCGGACTCACAAAACAGCATGCTGGTACATGGAAATGTTTGTTAGGTCACTTAACTTCTCATACCTTCATAAAAAGCTGCTTTTCTATAGTCTTCTATAGTATTTGGGATTAGCAGCGTGATTTTAAAACTTTAATACAATATCCTCATGTCCTCAAAACCATGCCTGCCCTTTCATGCATATCCATACTCATATAAAACATCTCCGAACTGCGTCAAATGCTCAGACATGTGCGTTTGTAGTTGTAAAATTTCCAGCAGTGCTTTAAAATCTGACACATCCGTTTATATCATTTTTAGGACAAATGCATATGTCTGGTTAAATGAGCCACGTTGCATTACTAAACACTGGGCTGAAAACTGAAATTCACCATGAGGCAGACAGCTGAAACAAAACAGTGCTAGAAATCTAGAAGGAAAAATGAGTCTGCCTGGCTGATTTGGTTTTTTAGTTCATGCAAGATGGGTTTTTACATCAAACTTCACCAGCTTGGTGAAGCATTTTTGTTCTGCAAGCTGGCTGCTCCCATGGCAGTGAGGTACATTCAGATTTAATCTGCAGAGTTCAAGGGCATAAGGACCCCACAGTCACTGCTATAAAGTAATGAACAAAATGAAAAACAAGACAAAATACACGAACACATCTAGCACAATGGGAAAACAGGAAGCCCAGTCACCAAAAACAGCAAAGAAAGAAACCCCTGATTTCAATGACCCTTTTTCCCCCGACTTCTGGAAGAATTAGGAAGCAGAGATCGAAGATATGAAAGCTTAGCTGGCTTCAGGGTTGAGCATGGAAATTAGTATTAAAAATTCATATTCAGGCCTGGAAACTATTGACTAAGCACAAAGCACTGGCAGCCTGTAAACAAAGAGAAGGCTTCTTGTTTTCAAAAGCAGAGCACGGAGCATTTAGGAAGCATGGTTTCATCTGGTCAGACGTGAAACCTTACCGAAAGGACAGTGGCTTCATTTTGGTTTTCTCTTCACCACAGTGAAATTTAAAAAAGCCATAAAATTAGACATGGAAAAAGGTGATAATTTCTAGGACAGTGAATGATTTACTACAAATGAGAATGTTTACTCCTTTCAGGCAGTATCTAGAGCAGCAGTGTTTGGATCTGTATTAAGTTTAGATGAGGCTTTAAAAGCCAAAAGTTGTTGCGGTATCAGCTGATCTTACAGAAGTCTTTGCAGGGAGGGAAAGTATCTTGCAACTGTGACTTGCTGTCTTTTGTCAAGGCAAGGCACTTTCAGACGGGACCCAATTCTTGCAAGCTGCTGTTCTAAAATTTTGGGTTCAATTAGTAGAAGCTCTTCTTCATGCTTTTCCTACCAAAATACATGAGAAAACCCTAGGAAATCTGCCACTTACGTTAAATGTTAAAATATCTTTTCAAAGTCTCTGACTCAATTCCTACAGCCTATTAACTCTAATTTTGTTTAGGATGACAACCATCAATGAAGCTTTTGAAACTTTTACCCTTCAGCCATATCCAAAACAGAAGGGGGAAAAAAAGATTCCTTTCACCTTTACACCCAATACACAAAGAAACACACATGAACAACAAGGAAAGCACACATAGATCAGCCTCCTTTTTTTTGTTTTTAAGTATTCAAAAGAGAGCTAGAAGAACTCCCAAACACACTTCACAATTAGTGACATGGACCAACTAAGGGAACATTATATATTAATGGAAACTGAATTTTAAACAGATTCACAATAACATAGACTAGAAACCTGACTCTGACGTATACAAGAAAAAAAATATATCACAGGACACCTCTGTATCCGATCACAAAACAGCCCAAACTTGTAATTCAAATGCTTACTTTAAGTTAGTTGTGCACTTGTCACTTGGCAAATATTGGGGAATGAGTAAAAGAAGCTCACACATTTCAGACACCAGAAATAGAGTATTTTATGCATAAATTATTTTTTTAAATATATATATATATATAAATAAAACATACATGTACTAAACTGTGTTTGATTACACACAGAGCAAATGAAGCAAGGAAAAAAAGGCTGCTGGCCACAGAGGGAACTTAGTTGAACGCTTCATATTGACAAATTGTGGCCAACTATTTTTAGAATACCGTCAATGATGGCAACAAACAACACTTTGTGGCATAATTCTAGTTCCTGATGATTTTCATATGTGCAAGAGGACTTAACACAGGTATTTTAGCATCCTCAATTAAGCAGCCTTCAACAAGGGGATTCACTGTATATTTGCTTTAATAAGAGTAATGAGGCTTTTTGTTGGGGTTTTTTTCTGTTGGTCTCTCTGTGTTACCACAATGCTATACAATCTGTCTCTCCAGAGTTACAACGGCTCTGTCAAAATCACTTCCAAATGCTCACACAAGCTTGCACTGATCAATCCACTATGCATATAATTCCTATGGCATGAGGCTAGCAGAAATTAAAACAACATTTTGTGGAGACAAAGAGATATTAAAGCAGTGTCAGCAACAGATATCTCTGCTGCTTCTTTGCACTGAGATCCATTTACCCAACTGCATGTGACTGACAGAACAGAAACACTCAACTCAATGATGGCAAACCATTGGCATGTCTAACTCTGGCGTTGAAAGAAATTTGGGTTGGCACCAATGAAACTAAGTCATACTGCCAAATTTCAAAAGGCACGTGGCTCTACTGCTGCTATTGAAACATTCCTCTCTGAGGAGAAAAGAGAGAGAACCACTTTGAACCTCCATCTATTCAACTCCTCACTCCTTGCTAGTCCGTGGAGATGAAATTTCAAGCTCTGTGGGGCAGGCAGTCTTTTCTGCTGGCTGCTGCTGTATAGCACTCAGCACGGCTAATTCTCATCCAGCACTGGGGCTCTTGGAAAATGCATTAACCACTGAAGAACAGAAAATAAGGAATAAATTGCTCATTTTTTTGCATTATCCAAACTCTGTGGCATAAAATAGGTTTTGCCAACATAATTCAAACCTCTCCGTGCCTTACAGATTCACACCAACATAGTGTTAAATATTTCTCTAGCTGAATCTCTGTAAAAACTCTCAACTGCTGAGAGGTATGCAAATGATTAGCAATTACCTAAATTACATAATTTTCAAGTAGGCACTCTACAGGACACATCTCTCCTTTGAGGATGACCCCAAGGGAACAATCTCCAGTTACATGCTGTTCCCTGCACGAGCTGCTCCAGTTCAATTGGTAATACGTTACTCTCTCTTCATGCAAGTGTAAACTGGCGTAGTGAACCAGAGCCTGATTCTGCCATGTGCTGTAAGCACTCAGACACGTTCTTGAGTGCTGCTCTAGCCCTGATTTTCATTCCTCCTGAAGGTTTTCAGGTTTTTAAACTGGAAAATATAACCTTGCTAGACTATGACATCCAGGGACGGCTCACCAACTCATATTAAATTCAACAGCAAAATTCCCAATTTAAAAGCAATTCTGATCTCAGTATCAAGTCTCCTGCATCACAGAGTGCATCTGGTTCCTTCACTGCAACGACTCTGGTTCAGCTGAATTATTCATGATAATATCGCTGCTTCACTAGCAAAGAAACCACAGTACATTTTGAAAGAGTGGTGCAAGACCACCGTACCTTTTGAGAGAATTAATGGATTTAGGTACTAGCAAAGAAAGAATGTGCAAATTCACTTGATTTAAAACCACAATGTATTCCAGGTGAATTAGAATAACAAAGAAATTTGAGCACAGCTCCTTGCTAAACTCGGTTTGATGTGGTTTTGTAATCCTAAACATGTTATTGCAGTGTTAATAACAGATCACTGGGTTTGTTTTAAAGATGTACCAGGTAAGCAGTTTGCTGAGGCATTCTGTGAAGCATATGTGTGCAGCCAGGGTGCACAAGGTTTCCTGAAAGGAATGGGCCACAGCTCAACCCCCTGTCTGGAGACAGTATACACTATCCAGTTTTCAGACCCACCCAGCTACAGCTGCATTGTTGCTTCTAACAAAAATAATTTTTTAAAATAATTTTAAAATAATAAAGAGGAAGTGTGGCGGGAAGTATAACACAAGCACAAATGCTTTTTGGAAAGAGATCACATTTGTTCAGAATTGCCATCCCTTCTATTCCTGCTCAAGCTTTCACTATGTTAACAACCTCAACGACTTACTGCATAGAAAAGGTTCTCCTAAACACTAGTCCCTCAAGATCAAATCCTCCATCATACCTGGCAGAAACTATGAGTGCTGCTGAGGCAGGAATCCAAACTTCACATCAGCACAGCTGGGAACACCATTATCAACACAGGTTGATAATGTGTTGTTGGCAGGTGTCTCTAGTGACAATACAGATTCAGGACAATCTGGCCCTGCCCCAGGACACAGGTAAACTGGGGACTTTCCTTTAAAAAAAACAACAGAATATAGGGCAAGAAGAATCTCAGTTACAACTTTCCTGTACCACCAGAGGTCTCCTCATTGTCCCCTACCATGCCCTTGCTCATTTCAGTCCTACTCTTTCTTCTCCTGAAATCTCACTAATGCTTTCCAAAGCTCCTTCCCCGTTTTCATAAACAGGAGGAACCTAGGTTGATGTGCAGTGACTGCAGGTAGATTCAAGCTAAGCACTGATCCTCGCTGTGATAATCACAAGGATATAAATGGAGCTTTACTCCATAACTACCATGAGCACTCTGACATTCAGCCTTTTCTTGTTTCTCTCATTGTTGATTTTAGCCTTACCTCGTTGATGACCTCAGTTTTCACAGATACATTTCAGTAACAAGTTGTTATTCCTCAACTGTGTTCTTGGTAACCAGCTTGTAAATGACTCCGGCTCACTAGTTAAAGATTTGAAGAAGGACAAAATATTGATTTCCTACCTTGATCAGTTCTTTGAACTTGGGGTCTTCTTTTGAGTTAGGATCAATCATAGTGCGTTCCTCATTCTCCTCTGTCCAAGTAAAATGGGAAACTTTAGTGAGATCCACTTCAAATGTACACTGCTGAAATACTGCAACAATTCCTAATCATGAAGTGGCCTGTCAGCTGATCAAGAAATGACAGTGCCTCGTCATCATCTTAGCAAGGGAACATCCGATGATCAAAGCGTTAGGCATTTTTAGAGACACACAATCAACCAACCTTTGGCAGAATTATCTTTACAACAGCACATACAGACACGTGTATCACGTGCATGTTTATATGCTACCGTAGATATGGATACCAGTATTTAGGAAGTAGCTGAAGCAATTCTCTTATTTTAAATTCTGGTGCTTGCTTTCAAGTAGCAGACCTCTCCCTGCACCCTTCATTTTAGCTCCTTTAGTAGCCAAGTGGTAGCTGTGATCTAGGGTGGATCTGTTCCTTTCAGTGGAGAGCAAACGCTGGCTACTACACAAGAGGAACACAAGGATGGGTGACAGTGTCACAGCTATGTGAGGAGATCCCCGTCTCTTCAGCTAAAATAATTATTTATAAACCCCATGGATTTATCTTTAGCTGAGTCTAGACAGGCCATATGGAATCCTATTTTCCTATTGGTTTCTCAATTCCTTCCAGCATGACAACAAAGGAGGGGTTTCGGAATGACTATAGGTCAGGCCATTGCCACACTGCACAGAGGAACCCTTTAAAACCTGACAATGACCAACCTAGAGTGACTTCCTATTGCAGTGCTAGACTTCACTGCTGTCAGATGGGAAACATGACACTCGCACATCCTAGACACAAGACAGACTATACCATCTAACTGGTTACCTTAGACTTCACCCAGACATTTGGGTTCAGCATTTTCCAGGGCCTCTTATCTTTATTAAAAAAATAAGACCCTACTATCTGAACATACATGACAAATTTCCACAAACCTACGAAAAAACATTAATTCTTTTGCTGCTTTTTCTCCCCTGTTCCTTTACTTCCTCATTACTGACTAGGATGAGTCAGGCAGTCTAGTCGTAAGGAAGTGACACCCACTACACACCCAAAATACTGCTAACTGAAACCCTGAACAAGATTTGACCCATAACGGTATACGATTCACCACAGAACTTTGCTTAAGGTTCACCGGTGGTCATGTCTTTGCATGACAGGCCTTCAGGAGTGGTCCTGCATCTTCTGAAGTCATACACACCTTCAGTGGTACCCAGAAGAAATTACTGGAGACACTCCTGATCCATACATATACACAGAGCAATCAACGCTTTGCCCACGTCTCAGAAGAACAGTATTTTGCATTTCCCACTACTCCTCTAATCAGAAAATCTAAATGACTAACGCTTTTTTGTTGTCAATTTACTGTTTTATTATTTGTCTCCATGACAGCTTGCTTCAGCTAATTCCGTAGATTAAGAGACATATGGCTAGGAAAGAACAAAGTGTTTTATTCCAACAAGTTTTAAACACTTTTTGCCATTAAATTATGCTGTTGCTCTTGTAGGGACTCGGGGAGGGGGGGAACGGAGAGAACAGGAATTGGAATATTTACCTTCTTTCTACAAAGCATTGCTTGTTTTACGTACTTCTATCCTAATCACATTTAATTACTATTTTCAGCAGCTTAAAAGCTCATCTTTTCATTCAGTATCAGGTCCCATTTTGCTGTACTGTCACTTGCAAAGTGGCAGCAGTAACCCAAGGAGGAACACGGCATCCACTAGTTAACAACAGTGTAGTATGTACATTGAGACAAGGCAGTCTAAGGGTTCCACAGGAACCACAACACACACTTCTGCTACAGGCTTTCTGTGGGTTGGTCCTTTTGCACTTCAGTTCCCCATCTATATAGAGAGAGAAGATACCACTTCCTTACCAAAGAAGGATGTCTGAGATGCACTTCGCCAATGGGTTAATGGAACTGAAGTAAATCTTAAGCAGACAAATTCAGAAGTTTTTTCCATCTGATTCTTTGCAAACCTCAACTTTCTATCTACTTTCAGGATGATCACAGAAGAACTCAAGTTCTCTGCCAATTCATTGAACAAGTCAATTTTCCCATAAACTACCTAGTTTAAGTGTATCTGCATAGCTGGCACTGCTTTTTAAATTCCATTTTAGCCCTTCTGATTTCTAGTCTACATGTGACATGCAACAGTTCTCAATTCTCGTGCCCAATTCTCTCAGTTTCAACTGAGCAAATTACATTCAACAGTAAAGCAATAGATATGGGGGTCACAGTGGCCACCTTCATTAATAATCGTTTAGTCGAGGTCTGTAGCACAAACACTTTACCTAATAGTGTGTCTTCTGGATGGATGTCCATGGTGCTTGGGTTCATTGGTGCATTGATAGCATTTTTACCTTCTTCTTGGAGGTCACTCACTGGATAGAGGGAAAAAACAGAAAGAAAGACTGTAATAAATGCAAACTTTGCAGATATGTAAGGGCTGAAGAGGGTATTCATAATAAGAGAAAACATCTGGTAGATCCATTTCAAAATGGGCCCACAGTTTATGGAATTAAGAACTGCAGCCGCAGTGGAAAATAAAATCAAAGTAACATCCTTTTATAGCTTCTTATTAAACTGAGCCACGACACAACTGGCTGAAAATATTTTGCAAGAAACCCAATTCTGTGGTAAGAGCAACCTCAGAGTGCTTGTTTCTCCAGAAGGAAGGGGTGTGAGCTTTGTCTGCAGGACAACTCAGATCTAGAGCAGACAGCAAACTGTAAAACCAAACTCCTTTTCTGATAGCACGACCACCACTCATCACCACCTTTTCCAGCTGCAGAACACCAGGAACTGCAAGTTGCTACTGGCCTTATTAAAAGCCTCAGAGAATCCCAGGGAGGCCTACCAAATAAAGATGCAAATGTATTTAATTCTAGCAATGCTGCTGGCTAAAAATAGATGTAGCATGATCTGGTGAACACAAATCTGGAATTTGTGATTTCGAGCTCTTGTCCTAAACCTACAACTGTTGTTTGGGAAAGTCAGTAAAGTACCCTTCATCAATAAAATAGATATCAAAATACTCCCCTACGTCCTGCCACATGGGAGGAACTGAACTTGAGGACAAGTACCGAATAGTTCTTTAGTATCTTCACAGAGCTTGACAGTAAGAAAAGCACTAGCAATGCTATAACACTTTTACACTCTCCAAGGCACATCTCCCCCTAAACTCAGATAACGATTATTTATTATAAGATAAGCTATTGAAATACATGCATTTGAAACAGGAGACACAAGGACACCCAGTAACAGGCCCATCTATTCTGTGTTAGCATGGGCTAAGATCATTTGTGGCAGCATTTGTGGTATTGCAGTCTCCTTTGGGAGAGGTCCAAGTCCCATACTCTTTTCAGGAAAAAGCAAGGACTTCCAAATAAACAAGGTCTGCTAGACAAACTTTTCGGGCAAAGAAAAGGAGGAACAGCTAACATAGTCACAGTATGCCAACAAGCACTTCCTTCAAGAACAGCCACTATTCCCCTTTCCCACTGGAAAATCAAACCACAGTCTAATCATTTCCATGCTGTCTGCAAAGCTTACAAAATCCTGCATCAGTACTTGCTTTTTTCCTGCTTGATAGAAGGGGAAAACACAGAGATCCTACTGCCCCAGAGGAGGACAGGGAAGAAGAACACACTACAATCCCCATTCCTCTCACGGATACTTGAAACAGGTGCTTACAACGAGTTACCACATTTCTTAATTGCAGTTCCAAGATGTTAGTTAATTCTGGTTCACAGCATGATATTGAACATGACTAAAATCCTCAATTATGAAATGCTGTTCTTATGTTCTGCAAGCAACAAACACTAGTCTCATATTTTGAGACCTCATGCCTTATGAACCATGTTAGAGCAGCCGGTTAGAGCTAACACAGCACAAAGCCTGGGGGAAGGGGGGTTGCCAGGGGCTTTCTTTCTGTATTGTGTACATTCTGCAAAGGAAAGGGAAGGGAACAGCAGTCTCGACTGCAAACAGAATACAATGTCTGCAGGCTGAGATTTAACCTCCTGAATAAATGTCGTTACTAAAGAAACTCTTAATTACCCCTTTTCTGCACTCCTCATTTTCTTGGAAAACCCTCCAAACAAAAGTCAGGGAGCTAACAGGCCTCATGCAACAGACCAAACCAGCTCTAACAGCATGCCTTACCCAGCCCTGTTTGCATTGCGCCCAACTAGAGCTTTCTCATCCGAGCAGCTCCAACTGTTGTGATGCCAACAGGAATACAGCCACCAGGAGGCACAAAATCGCGCGGAAACTGGACATTACAAGTAAGATATTTAAAACACTGCTAGGACTATAAATGCCCAAATTCCACTTAAATCGGACTCCTTTTGGAAGTACCAGCCTTGTTTCTAGATGTAACTCTCTTTTCATTATTATAGCATTGCTGTCATTCTGGGAATCCCAAGTGTTCAATAAGGTCAGGGCATTGCTGTTCCTAACGCTCTGCAAATGCAGAAGCGAGCTGCTAGGTTCCTCTGGGCAGTGAATAGATGGTACTGTCTTCAGTGTATGCTATATAAACAAAATGCTGCACACATTTCAAGCCAGAATACTTTTAAATGCAGCTAAACTAGTTTTATTCCCAAAAGTTCAATTAAGATGATACACTTGCTCTTTTTTTTTTTAATGTAAAAATGATCTCCACTCTTCCTAACAAAAATATCTTGTTTCTGAGGAATTTACTAAACTGAAAGAAAACATTAATATGAATTTGTGTATTAAGCCCCCACCCCTCATGGCATGAAGAGCCACATAAAACCCTTATGCTTGCCTTCAGATCCAGTGTGGCCGGGCCAGATCCCCTAGGACCAAAACATCCTCTACTACTGCTACCAGCAAAGCATGGCTAGGTCAGCAGAAAGCCTCCCAAAACCTGCTGCCCAGGGACAGCCCTGCTTACAGAAAGCCCGTACACCAGGTCCTAGGCAGACAGCTTAGGAAGAGATTCTTGCTACAGATGTAATGTTTCCTACCTCCTTTTTTGCGCCTCTTACACAGGAGCCCTGCCATCCCGACCCTAGCAGCATGAACAGGTCACAGATGAACCGCATGAGCAGTCTGAATGCCGAAGGAGCGGCAGCAACTGGATAAGGGGCTGCCACCTCAGGACTGCCCAACCTACGTTAATTCGGGTATGGTGACACAGGAGGAGGCGCTAAGATAGCCTCCCAGCTGCTAGGTGGTGGGGGGAGCCGGGAGGGAGGACGCAGCACTTGGCCATGAACTCCCAGCCAGGAATCTCTCCCTATCCTTGCCACTTCTGCAGATAGCCAAGTGCCTCCCTTGGCCTGCTGCTGGCCACCTAAGAGCAGGCACCTCAAAGATGGCATTTTCTCTGCAAGGAGCTTCATGAGAAAGTCATCTCCACCCTCTGGCCAAAGCACAGTCAGGTTCCCCACCACGACAGCTTGCCCCAGGAACACGCTGGTCCACAGAGTAACAGCCAGCATGCAGAGCAGCAATTGCGCTCAGGAACATAAATTTGCCAGGGTATTCCCAACAATTGCTGCACTCCAGAACCCTTTCACGCTGCGCTTGAACAAATGCTGAGGACTTTTTCCCTGCTCGCTGCCCCCAGTATTCACTTATCACTGCTGAGCAAAGAAACAGAAGCAGGAAAAGGAAACCAAGCCACAACGCTGGAAAAAAACCAGAGAACCCACAAATGAGCAAGTGAAGACAGTTAGAACAATAGTCAGGATGGAGCAACAGGTACATTTCTGAGAAGAACCTGATAGGTGTTTTAATGCAAATTTACAACAAAGAACAGCTGTCAGCCCATGCTTTCACAAACCCAAAGGTACTGTAAAAGATTATGGATATTAATCGATTGGCAAACGCCAACCTCCTTGACTTTGTACCAGCAACAGTGGCTTTGCCATGAGATTTAAACCAGATCTTTACATCAAACGAGCCATCCATGCATGAGGGCATTTTACTGGTAGAGCAGAGCTCCGCTTGCACAACAGGTTATAGTCATGGTAGGTCCCACATGAGGTATTACTGGTCCTTGCCTGCTCTCCACCTGCCCATTCACAGGTCCCCTTCTTTTCCCCTTCCCTTCCCCGCAGGAAACATCTTCCCATGTTGTGTTGGCATAGTTCTTTGCTCTCTAAATGAGATCTGTGTAAAACATCTTTCTCTAAAGCCTGATCATTTCATTTCATTTCATAGATCGGTCAGAAGAAACCTGCAGTAGGGGAAGACGGGAAGGGGTAGGAAACTGAGTACAGGCTGGAGTAGTGTCACTTAGTCCAGGCTGGTCCCCAGCAGAATCTTTCCTGTATCTGTTGCCCCAGGCCAGTTTGTTTGCTCCTGCTGGCACGCCACACCATGCCAGGGCAGAGGTCTCCCTCAGACGTGCCAGCAGAACTTGTACGAGCAGCCCCCAGCATCCAGGGAACGCTCTCCTGCCCACAAAAAGAGTTTGCTCCCACCTTAACCCACAACACAGATTCTGCTAAATGGTTACAGCCTTAACATAGAACTTATGATTGTTTAAATGACTCAGCTGTGAACTTACAGAGGACAAGTCAGGTGTAACTACAGGCACAGAAAGATGATGCCTTGGAAAGGTATCTGGCAGAATTAGCCACCATTTCTCCCAGATGTCTGCTATAGCCTCCCTCCCTTCTGCTGGAGATCTCCTCTCTGAGCAGATCCTCAATTAACAGGCAGCACTAGTCCTCCGAACCGCTTCAGCCAGCACTATACCAAACGTAACAAGGGACATGCAAGTGACCAAGGCATTCAGCAAAAACCCTAAGTATTTCCCTAAACCAGAAATTTAAATTCATGAATAAAAGGTCATTTCTCTATCGGTCCCCAGGAAAGGAGCAAGGGTTCCTGGCAGCCCTCCAATGTTTTAACAATCTCCTGGCAGTGTCAGCAGTCAACATGATTTAGTCACATTGGAAGCTGTGCTGGCCTTTCAAACAAATTAATATAATGAGCAGATCGCATACACACATGCTATACAGCACTACATCTGTAAGCCAGGCAGGCTGTCTCAGTGCACGGGATTACACACAAACTGCACAGAACAGGAGCAATTAGCTGCAGAAAGTTGGAAGCGCCACCAGAGCTATCACAGATTTCTCACAAGTCAGAAAATGGCCTTTAAAGTCAGCAGGAGCGCTATAAAAAGAAGAAAAGTCCCCGCTTTCTCCTTTTTATAAGAAAGAGCAAGCTGATGTCAACAATTTTATCCTTTCTACCTTCACTTTCAATAATTTTAGTGTAATTTTAAAAGATATCAACAACAGCACAGTTCATCTCTTAAGTCTACCATTCATTGCCTTGTTATTAAAAAATTGTCTGCAAGCCTCTGCATCTTACAAAAACAGATGGTAAATGCTACTTAATTTTAGCTCTAGATATTTCTGACTGCAAAGCTGAATCCCACCCCGCAGAAAGCAGCAGCTGTCGTGACGCTAATCACGGGTTTCAGGATACGGTGCTTTCCTTCGCATTCAATCAGTGCTGAGCTGGCTCTGCAGCACTGCCTGACCGCAACTTTTATACAACGTACTTTCATCTCGTGATTAGGCCCTAACTTTGGAAGCTATTAGCCTGGTTTGTTACCCTTGGCTCCATTACAGACGATTTGTTCAAGTAACTTTGTCATCTTCTTTGGTCGGAGCAGCACACAGAAGGGAAACATGCAATGACCATGTAACGTGAACTGCACGGGAAGCTCTTTTCCTGCCCCCAACGTCTCACTGCTTCCCAAGTTTCCTCGCTCTTCCCAGAGACAAAACCGCAACCAGCTGCACTTTTTCAGACAGTGACTCACCTGCCTGCAACTCATATCCTAAGAGTTCAGATAATCACATGCAAAATAGAAAGTCCATAGCCAAGACCATTTCTACCCCATTCAGACCAATGACACGACCCTCATTCACTCACACCTCAGTGAGACATGGCCATGGGACAAATCCCCCTGATGAAGCAGCCAACCCTTGCATAAGGGGGCAAAAGATCAAGCATCTGCTGGAGCTCCCATTTCCCACGTAAGGTGTCAGACCAGAAGGCAACAGGTCCCTGGTGGGTAAAGACCCTGCAGCGTCTATCCCTCAACCTGCTCTTCTGTTTGCCCATCACAGACCAACACACACAGAATTTCCACCTGACACCTAAAACTCCTTCACGAAAAGTCATCTTCAAAACTAAGCCTTCTAGGAACATAAAAAAAAAAAAGTTTTACAAAAACCGGTATTTTCAAAGAAGAACTGTTGTACTGGAAGATTTCAAACCAGCCTCAAACATAATGCATGCTGATACAGCGCGTCTCTTTTCTAGAGACAAACCACACACGCAACTCATCAGTCTGCTACTGCATTAGTAATAGCTTAACATTTACAAAAAGCTCTGAGATCTTTTGATAGAGACTGCAGGAGAAAGACAAAGCCTCCATTAATTATAATAGAGAATTAATAATCACAGGCAGATGAAAGGCAAAGACTTGATAAAATCCACATAAAGGCACTGTATCAAGGGACTGCATTCAAAGCAGAACTGTGGTAATAAAGAAAATTATTAATATGCCTCAGCAGGCAGACAAGGCACTCACAGCGGCCAGGCTCTGTCACTTAAAGAAATGGAAAGACCTAAAAAAAGGGAAGAGTAAAGCTAAAGGTAACTTTTAGGAAAGGGCTGTAACAATCCCTTTGTTTAGTTGCAAAGAGCTGGCCACGCTTGCTTAGAATCATAGAATCATAGAATCATTAAGGTTGAAAAAGACCTCTAAGATCATCGAGTCCAACCGTCAACCCAACACCACCATGCCCACTAAACCATGTCCCTAAGCACCACGTCTACACGTCTTTTAAATACCTCCAGGGATGGTGACTCAACCACTTCCCTGGGCAGGCTGTTCCAATGTTTAGCCACTCTTTCAGTAAAGAAAGTTTTCCTCACATCCAATCTAAACCTCCCCTGGTGCAACTTGGCAACTTGAGGCCATTTCCTCTCGTCCTTTCGCCAGTTACTTGGGAGAAGAGACCGACACCCGCCTCGCTACAACCTCCTTTCAGGTAGTTGTAGAGACCGATAAGGTCTCCCCTCAGCCTCCTTTTCTGCAGGCTAAACAACCACAGTTCCCTCAGCCGCTCCTCATAAGACTTGTTCTCTGTTCACGCTCTAACACCTCAATGTCCTTCTTGTAGTGAGGGGCACAAAACTGAACACAGTATTTGAGGTGCGGCCTCACCAGTGCCCAGTACAGGGGCACGATCACTTCCCTACTCCTGCTGGCCACACTATTTCTG